TCTGGGAATAAATTTTTTCAAGTTTTAAGAAATAAGTTATTTGAGTCCATATACCAGAGTGGTAGGTAAATTTAGAAAGATTTAAGGCAGGTCTTCATGGAAAAGTTAGTTGTCCCTCAAAAGTCTTTTGTGCCTGGATAGACAGGATGGGGTCGTTGGGTAGTTAGGGACCCAGAGACATGGACCATGAATCCAGAGATAGGTTCTTCAGATGAAGAATGAGTGCTTCCTATAAAAGCAGTGTGAACATTGCTAAACACTGAAGTGGGTAATCGTGGAGAACAATGCAGTCTCCTTCTCAGGAATTTATGAAAAACAGGAAACATTTTCATTGGTCTATGTGGGGTTTTGACTACTTCAAGGTGAGAGAGAGGCAGCTGGGTGAAGCAGCTGGGTCAGCTCTAGTGAGCATCTTGGGTTAGTGCTATACTAGTTTATCTGTAAATATAAATACCTCCATTTGACATTTAAAACAATTGTAGAATTTTTCACTTTAGTGGATCACAAATAGGAGGCAAAAATGGAGATAATGGGAAAATATCAGTGACATGAGGCAAGGGAGGTGGTTTTATTGGGCTCTTAAGATCCACTTTGATTTTAATAGTCAATATATTTCCCAGAAATTCCACTAGAAGATGTTTCATTGGGTTACCACAAAGTACCAACAAGCAAATATAATAATGATATTCATCACAGCCTGGGAAATGTTCAGAAAACTTGCTGTACTCAAAAAGGACTTGTGAAAGTCATTGTTCATTTGGTATCTCTGGGTCTCAGGATGATTTTTCTAACTCATGTGGGATCAGGGCCACCTCTAGGCTTACAGGGCCCTGGGAATTTTTTTTTTTTTTTTGGTAGGACCCCTTTCTATATAAACAATTGGTTTAAAGCACATAAAATTCATGGACCCATGTGAGGTATTGTCATTTATTAATGAAGGTTTAGAATAATGGATAAAGAAGTGATACTTACATGATTGGTTTATTGTCCAGTCAGTGCGTATAAAGATTCTTCATGGTGTCCAGGCACCATTGCTTCCTGTTCACGGTCAGGAAGCACGTCTCTGTGTTCTTTGTTGTCAAATACACCACTCCTGGCTAACTTCAAATCTCCCATTGTGGCAAAAAGTTGAGAAATATGTTATTATAATACTCACGGGGCTTGTGAGAGTGTTATAATACTCACAGAGCCCTTTGGAGCCTGTTTGCATGGGAACAATACAGATAGACTCTCTTGCCTCTTTACTTTCCTAATAACCATTTCTGTAGTGCTCGTCATATCGTTCCTCATGGCACCTCCTCCTTCCTTGTGCTCCCTGTGAATATTGGCCTCCAGTGACTCTCTCTAGGATTGTTACTGGGCTTCTTAGCTGATTATCACGAATGCAGGCCTTACTGAGAGTATGTATAAAATGGGAACAATAATAGCTCACTTTTTGGTCCTGTTAAATTTATTATTTGCGTCTTTATAGCATAAATGTAGAATAACATGCTTTCAACTGCGTCTTTTCTTGAATGCTTTGGGCTATAATCATTGCATTCCTGGGGTTCTCCTTCCATGGGCTTAGTGAGAAGAGTAGTTTCATTCCCACAAAAAGACCAACCAGGAAAAATGCAAGATCCACGTCGATAAGATAAGGGAACATCTGTTGTAAAGATCCATGGCCACTTGCATTGTGAAACGGCAGTCTCCAGAAAACCTGGAGACGGGTGGGGCAACCCCTGACCACCTGGCATGTGGAAGGAGCCTGTGAGGGTGGGGCCAGCAGTTCAGGTGGGAGTTGTACAGGATGAAGGACACCTGCTACTGCCCTGCCAGCCTGGGATTCTGTAGTTTGGAGGCAGAAACACCAGGGTTCTGCATTCACTGTCCATCCTGGACTTGAGTCTGGCTTTTGTTGATCTGTCAGTGTTTCACCAACATTCACAGGTCCACAAAAGCCAAGCTCAAGTCCAGGATGGGCAGTGAATGCAGAGCCCTGAATAATCCCATGTCCAACATGAGTGAATCACCCCAAATCAGCATGTCATTGCCACTCTGGCACGATATTATAAGATCCTGCAAAATAAACACCATGCTTGCCAGTAGGGGTGACCTGTTTACCAGACCACTCTCCAGGAACGCGGCCTAACCGCAGGCCCAGATGACCACAGAGAGGTTCCTTGGGGCATCTGGTCAATCCCACACTGGGGCAGAGGGTTGGAGAATGTTTTGAAAAGGAGAAATGGGGGCCAGGGCTCATGCAAGTCCCAGTGTGAGATGGGGTGCCTGACCCTGATGGCATTGCTGGCATTGGTAGATTCCAGTTACCTGAGGAAGACTTGGAAAAATTTGCACAAGACATCCAAAGTGCAGGTACCCTGAGGTGTGCACCATGGGCCATAGGCCGGGATCTAAGGGTGGTACTGTGTAGGGTCATGCATTGTAGATTGGAAGCATTGTGGGACCATTGTAGATAGCTATACTGTTGAACTAGAGCTGGAGATACTTCAGCCTTTCACTTTACAATGGTCTGTCAGAGGGAAGTGCTACAAATTCCCAAATGACAGCAGCCATATATAATTTGTTAGGGATATATGTGTATGTGTGTGTATTCCCCTAATGCACACATGTGTACACACACATTATATATGTAAATGCATATAAAATAAGCATATATAATGTATATAAAATAAGATTTAATTTATGTGTTTTATAAATATTACTTAGATCTTTTATGTACCAGTAATCTCTCCCCTTTGGTAAAGTGTATGGCTTCATTCATTCACTCAGTCTTTTAAAATTTATGCAATCTATTTATTTCAAAACACCAAGTTTTGTGTTTTTGATCCAATAAATCATTTCAATATGTGAAATGGTGACACCAAAATGACACTAATCTTCATTTCTTCACTTTGTAAGGAGCTGGACAGGTGTATTTATGCTGAATACTGCATTCACTTATAACCATATATTCTTTATGGTTGATACTTTTGTGTAATTTGGAAGCTTTCTTACTAATTTGACTCTGCTCATCTAGTCTGAATTTTCCTTCCAGTATGTAGAACTTCTTGTTACATTTTCAACAGAATACTTTATAAAGAAAAATTATTCAGCAAATAAAGGAAATGAAAACCCCAATGGATATTGTGTAAGAATAGAGTTGTACCATTACCGATGAAATATTCTTTCCTATAAACAAAATGAGGAACCAGCCTAGTAAGTATTCAGTATACTTAAATATGCTGAGATCTTGGAAATTTTTACTATGAGAGTACTATACATCACGGCATATGTTTGAGGGGTATAACTTTCTCATTCTCTACGTTCACTGGAATTTTGAGAAGTGGCACCAAATATAGGCTTTGAGCTTTGTGACCTCTGAACTCAGTGGTGATAGCAAGAGACACCTGGAAGTGTCTTGCAAGTGTGGTGGCCATATCTCATGTACGAACAGGGAGAGAATGCAGGTCAGAGTGGGCTTCATGGTGAGGCAGGGGCAACAGTGGGCCTCGTGGGCTGGCCAGTGGAATAGTGAGTGTGGTGGGGGGCAGCCCAGATGCCCCCTCAGGAGGTGATACACATTTCCCAGCTGAGGGGAGGGCCGGCTGTTGATGGATCTCAGCTGACTTCCTCTTTGAGCTCTGCCCTTATCCAAAGGTTTTGTCCCCTCACTGGGGGCAGCCTAT